GGTGTTCTTCTTCTCGATGCCTCGTCTTGCCGATGCGCATCGATATCGAGAGGAACGGCGCGGCCTTGCGGCGGCGCTACTTTTTTCGTTTCCTTGAAGGATTCGTTCCTTGCCCTGTCTAGGGTTCTTGGGGGAGGGGATCTCTATTTCTTTCTCTGTTTTATCTTTTTACCAAAAACATCTAACCAAGATGGCCTGATACCATTGATAGATCCTATGGATCGTGGTAGGCTAGATCTTTCCACTAACCTACCTTCCTTGGGTGCGGATGGGCTTGATCCAGAGCCGGCCATGCTGATGTAGGGGCCGGTGACCGCAGAGGGATCGAGATGGAGAGGTGGCAGTGGTGCTTCCCGTGAGCACTACGATTGCCCTAGATCGGAAGGGGATATCGGTGGGGAGTCTGGCGGCACGGTGAACCTCGTACCATGCGCCTCGGCCCCCACCTCTTTATATATCGCAGGTCACAGGGGCCCACCAACCATAGAACGGTTGGGCGCCCCCGATCAGGGCGCGAATAGATCAGGGCCCAATGGGCCATTGAGCCCACTCGGTGGAGAGATCAACCTAACATACACCCTCCCTCAATCTCAACTCACTCCTGAAGTATCTAGGAGATTGAGATTGCGCCTACAGACCTCAAACATGGGAGAAGGTAGAGGCTTGATGAAGATGTCCGCAAGTTGATCTTTCGAAGAGAGAAACATGACTTGTAGTAGCTTCTGTGCAACACGTTCCCTCACAAAATGATAGTCAATCTCAATGTGTTTAGTCCGTGCATGGAACACCGGGTTTGATGATAGAAACATAGCACCGATGTTGTCACACCAAAGGACCGAAGGATGTGGCTGAGCAACTCCTAGCTCTCGAAGTAGGGACTCAATCCGTATAAGTTCAGCAGTTGCATTGGCAACCGACTTATACTTAGCTTCTGTGCTACTGCGGGAAACATTGGCTTGCTTGCGTGCACTCCAGGCGATCAGATTAGGACCCAAGAACAAAGCATGTCCCCCCGTGGATCACCTATCATCTGGACACCCAGCCCAATCAGCATCAAAGAATGCAGATAGAACTCCGGAGGAACTGGGGCGCAGGTGAAGACCAAAGGAGACAGTGAGACGCACATAACGCAGTATGCGCTTCACAGTAGACCAGTGTACATCAGTGGGAGCATGAAGATACTGGCACACCCTGCTAACCACAAATGAGAGATCAGTACGCGTGATCGTCAGATACTGTAGGCCACCAACAATACTCATGTACTCAGTAGCATCCTCGGGAGAGAGAAGAGCACCATCAGCAGCAGAAAGGGCGTCAGTGGAGGACATGGGCGTAGGCGATGGCTTGCACTTGAGCATACCAGCACGACGCAAGAGATCAAGAGAGTACTTCTTCTGGGTGAGAGCCAAACTGCCACGAGACTGATGCGCGACCTCAATACCCAGGAAGAAATGAAGCTGTCCCAAATCCTTGACTGCAAAATCACGACCAAGTGCAGTCACAAGAGCATCAGCAGCCTTCGGGGATGAGCTCACCAGGACAATATCATCCACATACACAAGGAGGTACATGGTCACACTCGATCGCTGAAACAAGAACAGTGAAGTATCAGCCGTCGAAGGGATGAACCCATGAGTGCGTAGAGCTGAAGCCAGGCGAGCATGCCAGGCACGGGGAGCCTGCTTCAATCCATATATGGCCTTCATCAGATGACAGAGATGATGAGGCTGAGTGTGATCAACATATCCAGGTGGCTGCCGCATGTAAACCTCTTCTTCAAGCAATCCATGAAGAAAAGCGTTATGCACATCCAGCTGGCGGAGAGACCATCCGTGAGAAACTGCCAGAGACAGAAGAAGTTGAATAGTGGTAGGCTTGACAACTGGGCTGAATGTATCCTCATAGTCCAGGCCCTGACGCTGTTTAAAGCCCTTAGCCACGAGGCGCGCTTTGTAGCGCTCAATGGAACCATCTGCATGTTTCTTCACCTTGAACACCCACTTTGAATCAATGATGTTGACGCGAGACGGAGGGGGAACAAGTGTCCAGGTCTTATTCTTCATAAGAGCATGATATTCTTGTTCCATAGCAGCCCACCAGTGTGGAATACTCATAGCGGCTTGGTAACTGCGTGGTTCGGCGGTTGGATCATCGACAACATGAGCCAGGCAAGCAGCAAGATAGGTGACAGTGCCATCGGTGCGCTCCTTGGGACGAACAATGCCACTGCGGCTGCGAGTGTGTGGACGCTGCGGGGGAGCAAACACCGGGGCCGGCGGGATGTCCGGAGCAGGTGAGGCTGGTCCAGGGGACACCGGCAAAGAAGAACCGGGTGACGTCGGGCTAGGAGATGGCGGACCAGGCGACAGCAGGCCAGGCGACGTAGGCCCCGGCGGCGTGCGAGCCGCTGCAGACCCGGGCGAAGTAGGCACCAAGGACGCCCGCACGGATGGTGAGGGCGACGATGGAGGGGAGTCCGGGCGAGGTGGTGGCGACGGAGACTGCTCAGAGGAGGCCGTCGCAGGCTCTGGCCTGGTCGCAGTAGCCAGCATGGGCTCCGGCCCACGCACGGTTGGAGACAGGGTGCCCGGTGCGGGGTCGAGGGCGGGAGGCGGTGCATGCACCGGCCGATCGACGTGCACCACTGGCGACGTAGCAGGTCCGTTAGGGAGGAGTTCCAGGCGAGCTCCATGTCCAATTCCTGCACCATGATTAGGTAACAACACAGGCGAATATGCAACATCTTCAAATTGGCCAGGCATAAGAGGAGATGAATGCATAGAAGGTTTTGTGGTGGATGACTGAGGCATGGCAGAAAAGGGGAAGACGGTCTCATCAAAAACAACATCCCGAGATATGTAGACTCGATTGGTTGGGACATGGAGACACTTGTAGCCTTTATGGAGAGAACTATACCCTAAGAACACAAACTTTTTGGAGCGAAACTCAAGTTTGCGATCATTATAAGGACGAAGATGAGGCCAACAGGCACACCCGAACACCTTAAAAAAGGTGTAGTCAGGAGTTTCACCTAAGAGAAGCTCAATCGGAGTTTTCATATTAAGAACACGCGTAGGTAATCTGTTAATGAGAAAACACGTGGTAGCAAAAGTATCACTCCAAAAACGAAAGGGTACAGAAGCATGAGCAAGAAGTGTGAGGCCTGTCTCAACTATATGGCGATGTTTGCGCTCAACAGCGCCATTCTACTAATGTGTATGCGGGCATGATAAATGATGAGAGATCCCAAGCTTATTAAAGAAGGTGTTGAGGTTGCAATATTCGCCCCCCCCCAATCTGATTGAACATGGATAATTTTATGCTTGAGTAGACGTTCAACATGCAATTGAAACTGTATGAATATATCAAACACATCAGATTTGCGCTTAAGAAGATGAAGCAAAGTGAAGCGACTATAGGCATCAACAAAACTGACATAATAGTTGTGACCACTAACAGATGTTTGTGCCGGACCCCACACATCAGAAAACACAATTTCAAGAGGGTTCTTTACTTCTCTAGTAGATGAAACAAAAGGTAGTTGATGGCTCTTACCTTGCTGATAGGCATCACACACGGACATCTCTTTATTGCTAGACACTAATGGCAGCTCATGACGGTGGATTATGTGGCGAACGATGGGTGTGGCGGGGTGACCAAAGCAAGAGTGCCACTGGGAAGGCGACACACGAACACCGCTGAAGACGCATGGGGCAGATGGATCCTCCAAACGGTACAAGCCTTGGCTCAACTGGCCACTAAGCAGAACGTCCCAGGTTGCTCGATCCTTAACAAAAAGATTAAAAGGGTGAAATTCACATAGGACATGCTTATCAAGGGTGAGCTTAGGGACAGATAAAAGATTACGAGTTACCGAGGGTACCCGTAAAACATTACAAAGATGGAGCTGCCTAGAGGGATGACTAGTTAAAAGAGATGCTTGGCCAATATGAGAGATGGGCATACCTACACCATTAGCGGTGTGAACCTGATCGTGCCCATAGTAGGGCTGGTAGATGGAGAGTTTGTTGAGCTCGTTCGTCATGTGATCTGTGGCGCCGGTGTCCATGTACCAGGCTGGATCAACAGGGTAGAACAGTGTGTATCCCTGCTCGACGAGCGGGTCCTTGCCCTTGGCGGCGATGTGGGCAAACGGGGCGGTAGCGGGAGGACTAATGTCTGCCATGGAAAACTGGCGCTCGTTGCCCTTACCGTCGTTGCCGATGCCAAGGAAGCTCCTCTGAAAGCGGCGGTGACACTTGGAGGCGACATGGCGTTCACGACCACATAGCTGGCACACCACCCTAGTGTTAGGGCCCCACCCAGGGTCGATGCAGGGGGCGGGGCTGCCTTGCCAGGTGACGGGGCAGGTGGGCGCTGGCCACGAGAGGCCCAGAAGGCCGCCGGCTGGGCGGTGATGGTGGCGGAGGAACGACGAGCCTCGACGCGTTGCTCGGTGAAGAGGAGGCGTGAGTAGAGCTCGTGAGGAGGCATCGCTGGCTTGGCATTGTGGACGGCCTCGGCGAGATTGTCGTAGTCGGCGTCGAGGCCTTTGATGACGAAGCCGGCGAACTCCTCGTCGCTAAGTGGCCGACCAATAGAGGTGAGCATGCCCGCCAGCACCTTCATCTTGTTGAAGTAGGTCATACCGGAGAAGTCCAGCTTCTTGATGTCAGCAAGTTCGCTGCGAAGGGCCATCGAGTGGGAGGTAGAGACCTGGGCAAAGGCATGCTCCAGGGTCGTCCAGGCGTCCATGAGGTGGCGGCGAAGAGACAAAGACCAGCGACCCCGTCGCCGAGGGAACCCTGGATGGCAGAGAAGATCGCCTGGTCCTGCTGCACCACATACGGTGTTCCGGGTTGATGGCCGGGCCATGGACGGTAGGGATGACCTGCGGAGGACACGGTAGCGAACCATCAACAAACCCGAGGAGAGACCGGCTGCGTAGCAGCGGTAGGACCTTGGCGCGCCAAAACAAGTAGTTGTCCGGCGTGAGTCGGATGGCGATCAAGTTGTCGAAGTGGAACGGCCCGGTGGACGTGATTGCGCCAGCAGCAGGGACGATTGGCGGCGGGGCCGCGACAGGATCCACGACCGCGACCGATGCCGCGGGTGGCGGCGCGGGGACGATCGAGATCACGTCCGCGGGTGGTGCCGTGAGCGAGGCCGTGGGTGGCTCCGCGGGCAGCGTCTCCCCCGAGATCGCCGGGATGACGGCGAGTGTCGAGGAGGATCCAGAGGAGGCCATCGCGGGCGGTGACGGTGGGATCGGCGCTGAAAACAGGGAGCCGACGGCGGTGCTGCCGAAGAACTGAGGCACTAACGGAGCCAGGGGTGAGGTGGGAGGTTAAGGAGGGCGGCAAGCGTCGCAGAGATAGACCCGGAGCTGGCGGCGCCCGAAGCGCAAGCGGTCATGGCACAGGCGGCGGCAGCCCTAGGGTTTAGGGTTTTGGTGCGGCGGCGGCGGCGGGTGAGGTGGAGGTGGAGGACCTAGGTTAGACTCGATACCATGTAAAAGTAGGTTTTGGGGGAAGTGGCTCAACCCTCAAAGGGGTGGCCTATCACATATATATAATGATGACATACAAGTCCAATACCAATAAGGTACGATTTACACAGTAGGGCTACAATATGAAGTCTAACATGATAGATCCTATGGATCGTGGTAGGCTAGATCTTTCCAGTAACCTACTTTCCTTGGGTGCGGATGAGCTCGATCCAGAGCCGGCCATGGTGATATAGGGGCCGGTGATCGCAGAGGGATCGAGATGGAGAGGTGGCAGTGGTACTTCTCACCTCTGCATGTACCACTCTGATACCAAGAGCTGGAGTAAGAAGCCGGTGGTGCTCAACTCATATCCACACTGTCAGGCAACATCCAAGACACTCACCATCGGAGGAGACAAAGGCACCGTGGCCTGGGTCGATTTAGGGCAGAGCATCATCTTCTGCGACGTCCTTGACGAACAACCCAAGCTCCGTTGCCTAGAGCTCCCAAAGCCCATCATGCCCAAAAACGAAGTGGGGTCTGACGATCCAAGGTATGTACGGGACATTGCTGTCGTTGGTAACTTCATCAAGTTTCTCGACATGCATGTTCACTTCGATAGTAACTCTAAAACCTCCCATATTTGGAAGGCCGTCACATGGAGCATCAGGATCGGTAGCTTCCCCCGTGAGGATTGGACCAGGGATCACCACATAAGATCCACCAGGATACCCCCTCCATCATTGCTGCATCAGCTGATGGTTGATGCTGGCATCAAGGCTGCCCACCCAACCTTGTCGAATCTCCATGTTGGCCTGCCCAACATCAGCCTACAGAATGATGACATTGTTTACTTCCTCGCTAAGATTGACTACCGCGACAGCCACCGCACAGCATGGGTGCTTCGTCTTGACATCAGGAACGAGACTGTTAAGGAAGTGTGCCCGTTTGACAGCAAGAGGACTCTTGGTTTAGGCAGGGGCTACGACGCAAGTAGGATCTCCACATATCTCGAACCTGCTCTAGGTAACTGATTGTACTTCATTTTCACCGTCGGTCAGATACTCCCAATACATGCTAAATTACCATATTAAAACAGATTTTTGTTGTTATCATATCACACATATAGATAGTGTAGGGTTTAGGGTGGATAATCTGAATTCATCTCAAATAAGATTTGCTAGGCCATGATACTATTCATCTGAAGAGAGGTCTCGTAGACACTTGTCACTACTCATTTGGGAGGAATCTAATGAGGCTTTAAACACATTATATAGATATAACAATGAGATGGGCCAGGGTTGGTATGCAAGTATGCACGTCAAATGCCAGCTGTGGGGATGCTAACATGCTAGGAATATGTCTATTGCTGCCAAGGTATGTGATGTGGTGAGATCATAGTAAACAGTACAGAGGTTTTGTTTTCGGTCTCCGGAATACATGCATTGGATTCTCCGGCCGTGTGTATGGAATTTTACTCGACATAGATCGTTATGCATGATTATATTTTGTAGTTGCTGCAGAACAAATAACTGGTATATGTACGATAGCCCTATTTACCAAGCACCGTAATCATTGGCTGCCTTTATGTCGCTGTAGACCATGATAACATTTTTGGTGTAGAAAAGGCATCTGTAAGGTTGCGCTAAATATTGACCGGCACTGTTTATTGAAAAAAACGTGGGGGGAAAGCCTGATCTCAGCATCCATTGATGCATGCGGTCTTCGATCGGCATTATTTATTTGCGACTTACACATGTAATGGTTCAAGCCATACAAAGTTATACATTTGTTCGTGTTGACAACAAATGACATGAAAATATAGCCGACCATTGTCATAGGCTCATGGCACATAAGGGAAGATATCAGGTGACACCATGCCTTAAATGCTCCCATGATACGAGCTTCTGGTCCGTCGAATCTCAGATCCAACGGCTCCTAGTAGGTTTTGAAAGGTTGTCATACTTGTTCGCAATTTTTAGACTTCAAAAGGTCTTTTTCACAAACTGTTGAAAGTCTTCCGGGAGCCGTCGGATAACGGCTCCTAGGAGCTCGTATCATGGGAGCATCTAAGGCTCCGTATCACCTGATACTCTCCCTGGCACATAATGTGTACTTATGTTTGCACTTACATTAAATATATGTTTCTTGCGGGGGCACTTACATTAAATATGTTGCAACATGTATAATGTACGGTATAAAAGCACATCCAGCAGCTTGTAGAAATGGTTGTCTATAAGCGTTTTCAACGACGAGATCAGAAAACAGCCCCCCTGCAGCTCGTCTAAAGCATTGTGTAAATATAGACTTTGCTCAGATTTGCCTCAGTGACGTCTACGTCTGGACATTGTGGACAGCCAACCAGTCAGGAGTGGTGCTTCCTGCTACCGTCGGAAGCCGCAAGAGCCGAGAAAGCCGCACACCTAAACCTGATGAAAGAGGGAGAGGAGTGGATCTCACCGAATCTCGACACCCCCAAGCTGTGGCGCCAAATCCGACCGTTGCAGCCCGTCTGGCGTTGGATCCGGTGGTGGTTGGGGGCACGGAGCAGTGGCGTGGTAGTTGGGCACGGGAGGTAACGTGGTTGATTACAAGTGATGGCATCGTATCTTGGCATGGGCAGCCGTGGCTGGGCTGGCGGGTGTGTGGGTGGAGCATGGGGCGGTCGTGTGGTTGCGCCTGAGAGTTGCGAGCATGGGGCGGTGTGGGTGCCGCTGGGATTTGGAATAAAGGGGCAGCGTGTGGCTGGGTGAAGTAGAGAGTGTCGGGATTTAGGCCGTGTTCGGCAGCCCTCCGCTCCACGGCTCTGCTCCTGGAGCGGCCGGAGCGGAGCGGCCCGCAGTGCATTTTCTTGGAGTTGGAAAACTGGCGCTCCGTCCGCTCCCCGTATTATACGGAGCTGGAGAGCTGCCGAACAGGGCCTTAATCCTTTGCCCTAGCTCACCTCTTCGTCGCTCTCATTCTCTTTCTCTGGCTCACACCGAAGGAAGAATGCCCGCTGCAACGAACGACAATTTTCTTGCGCTTGAATTCAGTCCACACCAAATACAATGAACCCCACACGACCTTATTCCCTGGGCCTGCGTTGGGCACGATCCCCACGCCTCCACCCAGTTGAGCGCCCGATCCGGCCCACTCTGGCCGCGCCACGACACGCACGCATGCGCCCGGGTTGCAGCAAGCCCGCAACTGATCGGCTTGTTCACCCTGACCAGTTCGCCAACGGCCTGCTGCTACTACGACGGTGAGGAGGGGACTCACCGAATTTTGTAGATAGTATCACTGACCAATTTTTCTACTGCTTTCACAAATGAATTTATTCATTGATATTCATACAGCTACTAGTTACTATTGTTGCTATATTTTTTTCGATAAAGGACATTTCATTGAATAGATATATCGAGGTGATACAATCGCATCGAAAGAAAGCCCGTGTCTGCATAGCTAAATGCACGCAGCCAAAAAAATCCTGAGTACCCTAAAAGCAAAAAATAATTCGATACAATGCCAATCAAAAACACATGTCCAGCCTAAGGAGTGGCAGATCCTATCCGTAGGTCACACCGCCATCCACCTTAGTTTTTGATAACTAAGGTATTCATCCAGTAGGAGACTACACGCAAATCGCCTAGTACCTGCACAAACAATCAAGAACCTTGCAACCAACGCGATAAAGGGGTTGTCAATTGATACGTCTCCAACGTATTTATAATTTTTGATTGCTCCATGCTATATTATCTACTATTTTGGACTATATTTGGCTTTATTTTCTAGTTTATATTATTTTTGGGACTAACCTATTAACCGGAGACCCAGCCCAGAATTGCAGTTTTTTTTTTGCCTATTTTAGTGTTTCGAAGAAACGGGATATCAAACGGAGTCCAAACGGAATGAAACCTTCGGGAACGTGATATTCTCACCGAACGTGATTCAGGAGACTTGGACCCTACTCCAAAGAGTCAAAGAGGCGGTCACGAGGGTAGGGGCGCCCCCCTAGGGTGCGCCCCCCTGCCTCGTGGGCCCCTCGGTGCTCCACCGACGTACTTCTTCCTCCTATATATACATACGTACCCCCAAACGATCAGAACAGGAGCCAAAAACCTAATTCCACCGCCGCAACTTTCTGTATCCACGAGATCCCATCTTGGGGCCTGTTCCGGAGCTCCGCCGGAGAGGGCCATCATCACGGAGGGCTTCTACATCATCATAGTCTCTCCGATGAAGTGTGAGTAGTTTACCTCAGACCTTCAGGTCCATAGTTAGTAGCTAGATGGCTTCTTCTCTCTTTTTGGATCTCAATACAAAGTTCTCCCCCTCTCTTGTGGAGATCTATTCGATGTAATCTTCTTTTTGCGGTGTGTTTGTTGAGACCGATGAATTGTGGGTTTATGATCAAGTCTATCTATGAATAATACTTGAATCTTCTCTGAATTCTTTTATGTATGATTGGTTATCTTTACAAGTCTCTTCGAATTATCCGTTTGGTTTGGCCAACTAGATTGGTAGTTCTTGCCATGGGAGAAGTGCTTAGCTTTGGGTTCGATCTTGCGGTGTCCTTTCCCAGTGACAGAAGGGGCAGCAAGGCACGTATTGTATCATTGCCATCGAGGATAATAAGATGGGGTTTGTTTCATATTGCATGAATTTATCTCTCTACATCATGTCATCTTGCTTAAGGCGTTACTCTGTTTTTAACTTAATACTCTAGATGCATGCTGGATAGCGGTCGATGAGTGGAGTAATAGTAGTAGATGCAGAATCGTTTCGGTCTACTTGTCAGGGACGTGATGCCTATATACATGATCATGCCTAGATATTCTCATAACT